GTTGATTGGTGGTTGGTTGTTGATTGGTGGTTGGTTGGTAGTTGGTTGGTTGGTGGATGGTTGGTTGGTTGGTGGTTGATTGGTTGATTGGTTGGTTGGTTGGTGGTTCTTTGGTTTCGGGGGGTAGACTGGTTTCTTTGAAAGCTGATGGTTTTTCTCTTTGGTTAAGCTCTCTTCAGCCCTGGTGCTGATAAGGAACACAGCAGTACCAAGAACAATTTGGGGTTTGAAGGTCTAGTTTCCAGCAGCCTGCCTTGCAGGGGCAGTATGAGGCTCACTCCACTGTTCTGATTAGGTCGCAGATGGAGGTAGTTATGAGAACCTAACAAGTTAGTCTCTGAGGTGAACACATCCCTTGGAGAAACCTATAGCTGAGTAAGGATTAGCTGTGTGACAAAGGCCGCTTTATCAGCTGTTTTTAGAATGTGGATGTGGCGTCCTGTCCTTGAAGCATACAGTGAGTAAATCTTTAACAAGGTCCATAGTACATGGCAAGCCATAATGGTCAGGATGAGACAGCACGGGGCCATAAAGCCCATTGTCCAGATTCAGACTAACAGGAAATGACCAGTTCTCACTTCCAGGAGAATAGAAACTCCCATGTTGATTTTCAGGTCTGCTGCTTGGATATCTCAAGGTAAGGAGTGAGGTGGAAAATCTGTACCTAGGAGGAAGGAGTTACAAGAGCTGACAGGAAAGAAGCCTTGCCCCAGAACAAAGGTCGCAGTCTCCTTAGTAGATATGATTAGCCACCGCCTGTTCTCTGTCAGGACTGACGGAGAAGCGCTCAGCTGGCTCAGCAGCCCGAGACCGCCTCGCCTGCTGCGGCCAGAGTGGGTAGTTCCAGCTGCCTTTGGCACACAGGCGCTCCAGACCTGTTCTCAAGCCCGCTAAGATGTTAGGGCCTGGTGGCTGAAGATCATGAGGTCCCAAGGCACCAGAGACATGGCTTTGAAATTCCTCCCTTCCTGACTGACGCAGGGCAGGGTCCTGTCAGGATGGAAGCCACGCACTGGGAAAGTGAAGCGTCTAATACAGAGACTTTAAAAACTTGCAAAGGGACCCTGGCGTGTGGCCAAGGCTTGCACCTGTAATCCAGCAACAGCAACAGGAGGTGGGGCCAGGAGGATTGCTGCAATCTCAGGGCGACCACAGAATGAGAAAGACCCTGTCTCAAAATTAAAAACAAAGAAAGAAAAAGAGTGCAGATAGAGACACCAAGTAAAAGGTCAATTGCTCTTCCTGACCCTTTCATGCCACCAAAACCAGTACCACCTGAGAGACACATGCTGCCGAGCTCAGCTGCCGGCCAGAGGTGCAGCCCCTCTGGACCACAGCTTCTAGGCTGACCTTGGGAAGCACTCCTGAGCTTTTGGTTGTCCAGCAAAACAAAGGCCTTGCACTAGTGGTTCTGGTGTCTTTCCAATCCAGCAGACTCTTGAGCTCCAGCTAACCGGAAATCACAGGTTTTTAGTGCAAAAACCACACAAATGGCTTCCCTCTGAAGCGTCACGAGCCGGGCCTCCATTGTCTGTGCTGCTTACCCTGGTTCCCACAACAGCTCAGGAAGCTCTCAACGCACAGAGGCTTTTTTGAACACGGAGCTCCAAGTCCTTCCACAGTCCTTCCCAAAACAACATGGCCGGGTCTGTGACAGCAGCACCTCTCCCGGCACCAGCGTCTGTCTCAGGGTTTCCACTGCTGTGATGACACCATGACTAAATCCAGGGGAGGAGAGGGTTCATTTCACTTAGACGTCCGCATCCCAGTCCATCACCAAAGGCAGTCCGGGCAGGAGCCTGGGAGGCAGGAGCTGAGGCCGAGGAGGTGCTGCCGACCGGCTTGCCCCCATGACTTGCTCAGCCTGCTTTCTTACAGAACCCAGGACCACCGGCCCAGGGATGGCCACCCACAGCAGTCTGGGCCCTCTCCCATCAGTCACTGAGAAAATGCCCTGCCGTCTTGCCCAGTTTGGTCTTCTGGAGGAATTTTCCTGACTGAGAGTCCCCTCTCAGAGGACATAAAATCGGCATCACACACGGCATCTTCCAGGTTCCCAGCAGCCTCCGCCCACTCAGCCCTTTAAATTAGATGGGGAGACAGAAATAGGAGGAAGGTTCACCTTGAAAAAATACCATGGGCTTTGGCTAGCTTTGACTGTGAGCCACCCATGGCCCATCTAAGCCTCAGAGTCAGGAGATCAGGACCCACTGCGCAGATCAGCTAGCTGATGTGTGGGCTGACGGGCTGCAGAGAAGGCAGAAAGCACAGTTTGTCCTCCCTGCTCACCTGCCTGTAAACCCAAACCAATGCAGTGGACCTCTGCCCCTCCCCCCCCATCAGCTCACCCTGAGCAGAGCCCCCCCCCCCCCCC